TAGATACTTTTCTTTGCTGAGCATCTTAATACAGCAGAACCAATTTATACCTTAACCTTTACCTATAGCCTATCATAACTACTATAATCATCATATTCATGTTACTATTCTCCAATCACTAAAAGTTAGTACATTACAGTTCAAGATAGAAGGTATTTTTCAGTTCTCTTGCAGTGGAAAATTCTGAGACTGTTTTTCTATTTGCATCATCGGTGGGCTTGTTTGCCTGTGCTATCTTTCTGCTTGGTAAAAACATCTTCTTGTTTGTGGTGGGTTTATCCTTTGCTCTAAGCCATAAAAACCCCTTCTAACGAACACACCCTATGCCTCCTTGGTTATCCAGTAAGACTGGCTCAGCAATTCTTTTCTTCTGTATCAAAACTTGCTTCCATCTCTATTCCTTCTCCAGATTCTACATTGAAAAATTTTTCTGTCCAGCACACACACTTGTGAGACTTTCTTCTCATACTTTCATCCTTCCCAACAGAAGTGGGTTTCCCATCCCACCTTCCCATGTCTTCCCCATGGTCACACAGACAGAACCACAGGTCAGCCCGTGGGGTGCACCCTCTCTGTCGAGCTGGGGGATGTTGGGCTCTGACTTTGGGGCCTGTGACTCACATGGGTGCTGCATTGATCTTCCTCACCTCCTCCCTCATCTCCCTCATCTCCTCTTTGAGTTCCTTGAGCACAGCAGGGACATGAGCCTGCATGGGGCCATTGATCATACTCTCATAATATCTGTGAAAAACACCAATCACTTCTTGTTTTTAGAATTTTAAAAGTTTAATAATAATAAAATTATTATAAAAATAGTAATACAATTGGTAATAAAAATTTGAAAATTGGGATTAAAAAAGAGTAATGAAAATTTGGAACATTGGGATTAGGACAATACAAGACAATAAAAATAAAGAGTTATGAAGAGTCCAGGTACCTCTTTCTGGGCAGAATAAGCCCAAAAAAGGGACACCCAGTAACAGAAGATTAATCCTTAAAAGCTTAAAACCAATAGCCTGTTGTATAATCATACACCTCCTATGTGATGCATAAATTCCATTCAAACAAAGGATTCTGCCTGGTCAGTGCCAACTACTTTCTCTGAATCCTGGCTTCATGGCTGAGCGAGGCAGGAAGAAGTTGGTTTCTTCTGATAAGGGAGCAATAAATTCTTTTTTTCTGAAAGATTTAGGTGTCCTGAGGCTGTTATCTCAGTGGAAGTACCTTATTTGTCCCTTTTGAAAAAAGTATCTTACGTAGCCTAGTTTCTATTTTAACATTATGTTATAATCTAAAACAATATTTAGCACACTACTTAAAAAAATTAATACAGCATCACGTTCTAACATAACACATATAATATTCATTTTAATATTTGCCAAAAGCCAATCATAAAATACGCATTTTTCACAATTTCTAAGCTTGTTGGTGACAGAGCCCACTGCCTCTCGGTTGGTATCAGCATCAGTCATTCCAATGAAGGTGGTGTATTGAGATGGCCCCAGATTTGCCAGACTCCACAACATTTGCCCTGTGCACCTGACCTTGTCGAGGTCATTTTCATGCTGTCCATCCCTCCCAAAGAGTACCTCCAATACTGCCACTTCTCTCAGCTGTTGGATCCCTTTCGCAAGGGTGTGATGGCATTTTAATTTTGCCATCTGCTCGGGTGTATTTCCATTCCACCAAGGGTTTTCAAGGGGAAATATCTCAGTGACAGCACCTTGAAACAGCTCCCTGGCTGTGCTCCCCTCAAGGAACATTGGGATGGATTTATTGAGCACTCGTCTGTCAATGGGGTCAGTGATGTGTCTGACACAGAGTTCAGATGAGCCTGGTCTGATTTATATAGAGAATATTATTAATTATTTAGTTAATTAATTAATTTACAGGCTGTACGGTGCACACATGAACTGATAGATAGTACTGCAACAACCAGCAGCTATAAGGAATCACTGATAATCAATATCAGTATCAAATACCGTATCAAATTGTTGGTGATTAATAACAATGTGCAAAAGGCAATCAAAAATGCAAAAGGCAATAAATAAATTGTCATTTATGACCCGGCTGGTCTGCAAGCACAGTGGAAACCTGGAAGCTGCTGAGGGGACTCATTCACCCCTGTCCCCTGTCCCTGAGTGTCATCAGAGTGTCCCTGAGTAGCTCTGAGTGTCCCCAGTGTCCCCAGACTGTCCCCTGAGTGTCCCCAGAGACATCAATCCAGGAATTCCCATCAGGATTGGGGTAATTTCAAAGAAAATTCCCCAGATTTATCTCAAATACTGCACAGGGAGGGCACAGGTGACAGCAGCCATGTCCCCAATGACGTCACTGCCATGATGACATCACAGCAGTGACATCACTGTCTCTGCAGCAGCCTCGGGATGTCCTCAATGGCTTTTTGGCACTGCTCGGCCACCACGTGGCTGCTGGGCTCATTGGGGCCACCATGACCATCATAGGGACTCAAGAGGAGGTCATGGATGTTCCCAAGTGTCTCCAGCAGGTGATGCTTGAACAGGCGGGCGCTGGCCTGCCACAGCTGCTCAAACTTGGCCACCGCAGCCACCAAGGCATCGGGGACATCGAGGGATGCGTCATTTGTCCCCTCTAGGGCAGCCTCGACTTCCCCGAGCCCGCACTGCAGTTCCGAGAGGAACAACGTGGCTCTGTCATGTGTGGCCACCAAGTGCTGCAGTGGCTCCAGGGCCACCTCTGCCCAATGTCTCCTCTTGATGGCCACCCTTCTCCGCCTGGTGGCCACCACATTCTCTTCCATGGCCTCGTTGGGGGCCACTGCCATCTGGGCATTGCGTGTGGCCTCCACTGAGGCCTCCCCATCCCTGTCCAGGGCCACCATGAGCTGCTGGGCTGTGGCTGCCAGGTTGTCCTCAGCTGTCCCCCTGCGGGTGGCCTTGTCCTGCGGATCCCCGGCTCAGGCGGGTGCTGTGTTCTTGCAGGTGTCACGGAGCTCAGTGGCCTCCCTGGCCACCTGGTCCCAGCTCTTCTCAAGTGCAGCCACCAAATCCTGCCAGGCGCTGTCCGCGGCTCTCACATCGGCCCAGGTGGCCCCAGGGGTGGCCAGGGCCTGGCCCAGGGAGGGGACACCAGGGTCTGGCCCAGGGAGGTGACACCGGGGTGTTCCAGGCCCTTATGGAGGCTCCAGGTGAAGATCCTCAGGGCCCCGTGCAGCAACTTTGGGGGCACACAGCGCCTCACGCCCCGGCGTGGCCCAGTCACAGTGGCCACCACCTCACCCAGGGTGGCCACCACAGACACCAGAGCCTCCAGCAGCTGGGGAGGGGACAGCTGGGGAGGGGACAGGGGAGGTGTCAGGGACCTGGAGGCATTTGTGACCCTCTTTCAGTGGTGCCTGTACCCTCCTGGTGTCCCCTCTGTCCCCTCCCTGGAGGGCTCTGCTGTCCCCTGTCCCAGTGCCATGCACTCCTCCCCTCTGCCACCCACTGCCACCCTCCCCACTGTCTCCTCAGCCACCCACTACCACCACAGCTGTAGCCCCTGCCATCCCACGCTGTCCCTTCTGCCACAGCCTCCCCAGCCCCCGTGTCCACCCTCCCCCCGTCATCCCCATCCCCCACTGCCCCATTGTCCCTCTTTCCCCTCCATGCCTCTGTCACCTCCTCTCCCCTCCTGCCACCCCTCATATCCCCTCCATTCCCCATTGCCCCCTCCCCCTGCAGTGTTCCCTCTGTCCCCATCTCTCTCGCCCCCAATCACACCTTTTGGAGCTCCAGGCTCACTGGGGACACTCCGGGGGTCGAAGAAGACTTGGGATGTCATTGATGGCTCACTGGCACCTCTCGGCCACCCGACAGGCACTGAGGCTGGTGGGACCACCAGTGAACAACTGGATGGTGTCTGGAACTGCCCCCAGCAGGTGATCCTTGGCCAGGCGGGCGTTGGCCTCCCACAACCGCTCGGCCTCGGCTGCCTTGGCCACCCAGCCCTCGAGGATATCAAAGAATCCCTCATATGTCCATATCAGGGCGGCCTCAATGTCCCCAACCCTGTGCTGCAGCTCCCGGGGGAACGTGGTGGCTTCGTCACACGCGGCCACCAAGCGCTCCAGCAGCCCCAGGGCCGCCTCCAGCCGCTGTCTCACCATGGTGGCCCTTGTTGCCTCGCTGGCAGCCACTATGGCCTCTTCCCTCACCCAGGATTCATGCCCAGCCACCACCTCGGCCCCCTCCTCCCTGCCCAGGGCCTGACCCAGTTCCACCATGTTTTCCTGAGCTGTCCCATCACGGGCAGCCTCATCCTGCAGCTCCCTGGCCTGGGCGGTGGCAGTGGCCGCCCTGTCGGCCGCCTCAGTGACCACATTTCTGCAGGTGTTGTGGAGCTTGATGGCCTTCCTGGGCAGCTTGGCCCAGCTTTTCACAAGCACAGACACCGACCGCTGCCACTTCCTGGCTGCCATTGTCAGATCATCCCGGGTGGTCCATGGGGTCCTGTCATAGGCAGCCAGGACCCCGCTCAGGGAGGTGAGAGGGTCACCATCATCGTGGCTGACATTGCGGCACCACCAGGTGCCCTCAGTGCAGCACAGGGTGACCCAGAGGCTCTCAGTGAAGTCCACCAGGTCCCAGTACAGGCTCGCTGTGGACATGGGCAGCATCTCCTCGTCCTGCCTGGGCAGGGTGGCCAGCAGCTCACCCAGGATGGCCACCACGGTGACCTGTGGCTGCAGCAGGGCCGGGGACAGCTGGGGAGGGGACAGGGGAAGTGTCAGGGACCTGGGGGCATTTGTGGCTTTCTGGGGTGGCCCCCTGCCCGTGAGGGGTCCCCTTTATCCCCTCTATCCCTTTTTCAGCCTCTTGTTCCCGCTGCCTCACTCTGCCTCTCCACTTGTAGCCTCTCCCACCCCCTGCCCCTCTGCTGTCCCCTCTGCCACCCCCAACACCCCCCGTGTCCCCCCTATACCCCATTACCCCCTCCCCTCGCCCCCACAGTGTTCCCTCTGTCCCGTTCCGCCCCCATCACACCTCTTGGCACTCCATGCTCACTGGAGACACGTTGGGGACACCTTGGGGACGCTCTCGGGGTTGAAGGAGCCTTGGGATGTCCTCGATGGCTCTTTGGCACCGCTCCGCCACCCCAAAGGCACTGGGGCTGACGGGTTCACCATCGACATAGAACTTGATGATGTAGTCAAGCGTCTCCTCCAGGTGATCATTGGCCAGGCGGTTGTTGGCCTCCCACAGCCGCTCAGCCACGGCCACCCTGGCCACCAAGTCCTCAGGGACATCGGATGATGCCTCATTTTTCCCCTTCAGGCTGGTCTTGATGTCCCCAACCCTGTGCTGCAGCTCCTGGGTGAACGCGGTGGCTTCGTCACACGCAGCCACCAAGCGTTCCAGCAGCCCCAGGGCCACCTCCACCCGCTGTCTCACCATGGTGGCCCTTCTTGCCTTGCTGGCAGCCACTATGGCCTCTTCCCTCACCTTGGCTTCATGCCCGGCCACCACCTCATCCCCCTCCTCCCTGCCCAGGGCCTGACCCAGCTCCACCATGTTTTCCTGAGCTGTCCCATAATGCGCAGCCTCGTCCTGCAGCTCCCTGGCTGGGGCGGTGGCAGGGGCTGCCCTGTCGGCCACCTCAGCGGCCACCTCCCTGCAGGCGTTGTGGAGCTTGGTGGCCTTCCTGGGCAGCCTGGCCCAGCTGTCCACAAGCAGAGACACCGCCTCCTGCCACTCGCTCGCTGCTATTTTCACATTGAACCAGGTGGTCCATGGGGTGCTCTTGTAGGCGGCCAAGGCCTGGCTCAGGGAGGTGAGAGGGTCAGTAAAAGAGGAGTTATTGCGGTGGTACCAGGTGTCATCAGTGTAGTACAGGGTGTTGTGGAACTCCTCGGTGAAATCCACCAGTTCACTGTACAGGCACCTTGGGGACTCGAGCACCATCAGCATCTCCTCATCCCGCCTGTGCAGGGTGTCCAGCAGCTCAACCAGGATGGCCACCATGGTGACCTGTGGCTGCAGCAGGGCCGGGGACAGCTGGAGAGGGGACAGAGGAGGTGTCAGGGACCTGATGGCACTTACGGCTCCTGGGGTGGTCCCCTGCCCCCAAGAGGTCCCCTTTGTCCTCTCCATTCCTTTGTCAGCCCCTTGTTCCCTCGGCCACCCCCTCCCTCTCCCCTCATAGCCCCTCCCACCACCTGCTCCCCACCCCACCCCGCCAGCCCCCGTGTCCCTCCCCCTCGTGTACACCCCATCTCCCATTGCCCCCTCCCCCCCCGTCACCTCCCCCCTTCCTGCCACTCTCTCCTGTCCCCTTTGCGACACCCTTTCCCACCCCTGCCCTCCCCCCATCGCACCTCTGGGGACACCGTGGGGATGCTCTGGGGATGCTCCAGGGGTCGAAGGAGCCTTGGGATGTCATCGATGGCTCTTTGGCACCGCTCGGCCACCCCACAGGCACTGGGGTTGGTGGAACCACCAGTGAAATAGAACTTGATGATGTCTGGAAGTGTCCCCAGCAGGTGATCCTTGGCCAGGCGGGCGTTGGCCTCCCACATCCGCTCGGCCTCGGCCACCTTGGCCACCAAGTCGTCAGGGACATCGGGGGACGCCTCATTTGTCCCCCTCAGGGCGGCCTCAATGTGCCCAACCCTGCGCTGCATCTCCCGGGGGAACGCGGTTGCTTCGACACACGCAGCCACCAAGCGCTCCAGCAGCCCCAGGGCCGCCTCCACCCGCTGTCTCACCATGGTGGCCCTTGTTGCCTCGCTGGCAGCCACCCTGGCATCTCTCCTCAACTGGGCTCCATGCCCGGCCACCACCTCGGCCCCCTCCTCCCCTCCCAGGGCCTGACTCAGCTCCCCCATGTTTTCCTGAGCTGTTCCATAACGGGCAGCCGCTTCCTGCAGCTCCCTGGCCCGGGCAGCGGCAGCGACAGCCATGTCGGCTGCCTCACTGGCCACCCCTCTGCACGTGTTGCGGAGCTCAGTGGCTTTCCTGGCCAGCTGGGCCCAGCTGTCCACTGGCCCAGCCACCGCCCACTGCCACTTCAGGGCTGCCCATGTCACACACTTCCAGGTGGTCCGTGGGGTGCTCTTGTAGGCGGCCAGGGCCCGCCTCAGGGAGGTGACAGGGTCATCACCATCCACGGTGACATTGTGGCGCCGCCAGGCGTCATCAGTGCGGTACAGGGTGGCCCGGAGTTCCCTGGTGAATTTCACCACGTGTCGGTACAAGCTCACTGCGGACCCGAGCAGAGTGTCGTTCTCCCTGGGCAGGGTGGCCAGCAGCTCACCCAGGATGGCCACCACGGTGACCTGTGGCTGCAGCAGGGCCGGGGACAGCTGGGGAGGGGACAGGGGAGGTGTCAGGGACATGGTGGCACTTACGGCCTCCTGGGGTGGCCCCCTGCCCCGAGGGGACCTTTTTGCCCCTCCGTGGAGAGCTCTGCTACCCGTCTGTCCCTCTCTTGTTCCCGCTGCCACCCCTGCCCCTTCCCTCGTAGCCTCTGCCACCCTCCTGCCCCCACTGCTGTCCCCTCTGCCACCCTCTGCTGTCCTCTCTGCCACCCCCCCGCCAGCCCCCGTATCCTCTCCCCTCGCTCACTGCCCCTTTTCACCACCCCACGTTTCCCCTCCTCTGCCCCCCCGGTCACACCTCTTTGGGCTCCATGCTCACTGGGGACACGTTGGGCACGCTCCGGTGGCAAAGGAGCCCCGGGACGGACTCTGGTCCCGGCCCAGAACCGGTCCCGGGAACGGCGCCGAGAAAAGGCGGAGCCGCCTCAGGAAGGATGGGAAAGGGGCCGGGCGCCCGCCCTTTCCAGTACCGCCCTTTTCCATGGAAGCTCGAGGATTTGCGCGCTTTGGCTCAATCCCAGGGGATTTAGGATCCATCCCCAGTGGATTTAGGCTCCGTCCAGGCATTTCCAGGCGGATTCCGCCGTTCCCGGAGGGATTTATGAGGGATCGCGGAGCGCTCCGAGGAGCGGCCGGAACTGCCCTCAACAAGATGGCGGCGCTGCTTCATGAAAAGGGCAAGAGCTGTCCTGGCTCTCTTTAGAGACCCCAGGGGTCCTGCAGGGTTTTCGGCCGAGTCTGGGGGGATTTAAGCGGAATTATGGGGGGATTTAGGCTGAATTTGGGGAATTTAAGTGGAATTTGGAATCCCCGTTGCTCTGCCCACCTGTGGGAGCATATCCAGGACCGGGCGGAACTGCCCTCACGCAAAATGGCGGCGATGCCTCACGCCAGAGACGGGCAGTTTGGGCTAGTTGAGCTTGGTAGCGCTCCTGGGAGACACTTCTGGGTGGATTTGGGCCCTTTGGTTGAATGCCAGGGGATTTAGGCTCCATCCCGCAATTTTCAGGCCGGTTCCGCCGTTCCCGGCTGGATTTATGAAAAAACGCGGAGCGCTCTGAGGAGCCCACAGAATTGCCCTCAACAAAGATGGCGGCACAGCGGCCCTGTCGTGCAGCGCGGATTAATCAGAAGCTGTGCCTGACAGAAGTACTGGCAGAAGTCGCCCCCGCGGCGGCATCGGGCGGCCGCTTCCGGCAGAACCGCGGGGCATTGTGGGCATTGTGGTCCAGGTGGTGCCCATCGGCGGCGGAGCGGGGTCGAGGCCAGTAGTGCCGGTGGCTGTACGGTGGCTGAGCGGTGCCAAAAAGCCATCGAGAACATCCCAAGGCTGCTGCAAGAAAGTTTCACGTAGGGACAGTGACATCATCAGGGACATCGCTGCTGTCACCTCTGCCCTTCCCTTGATGTATTTGAGACAGATTTGGGGAATTTTCTGGGAATTTTCAATGATACTGTCCCAAATCCTGATGGGAATTCCTGGGGTGATGTCACTGGGGATCTCAGCAGCACGCCGGGACAGTCTGGGGACACTCAGAGACACTCAGGGAGAGGGGACATGGCTGAATGAGTCTCGTCAAGACCTTCCAGCTTTCCACTGTGCCTGCAGCTCAGTTGGGCCTTAAATGACAACTTAATAATTGCCTTTTGCACAATTTTATTGATAACCAGCAATTTGATATGGTGTTTGATAGTGATATTGATTATTGGTGATTCCTTGTAGCTGCTGGTTGGTGCAATATAATCTATCAGTTCATGTGTGCAGCATACCACTATAAATTCATTAATTAATTAATGACCTCTTTATAAATCAGACTAGGGTGGTCAAACTCTGTGTCAGACAAATCACTGACCCCATTGAGAGATGAGTGCTCAATAAATCCATCCCAACGTTCCTTGAGGGGAGCACAGCCAGGGAGCTGCTTCAAGGTGCTGTCACTGAGATATTTCCCTTTGAAAACCCTGGGTGGGATGCAAATACACGTGAGCAGATGGCAAAATTAAAATGATATCAAAGCCTCGTGGAATGTGGGTTAAAACATGGGGTCTCTAAAGCTATAAATTGGTCAAAGCTTTACCAAGTGAGGCAAAATGATGATGAATCACCCACTGAATTTTAAAGAGGTGAAGAGAAACTGCCATCAAATATAAAGATGCAGATCCTGAATCAGCTCATGGTAAAGCATATCTGGTTTTGTTTTGTGTGGGTCAGGCTTCAAATGATATAAGAAGAAAAGATAAAGGGAGTTCAAGGCATGGATAAACTGCTGGAGGTTGCCTGGAAGGTGTTTTGAGACAGGGGCCCAGCTGAAAGAGTTAATCCCAACCTAGCAAGAAGGCAACTCAGGGAAAGTGACCCAAGAAAGCTTCCCCTCCGGAGAAGGCTCAGAGTGCATCCTGTAAGAAATGGGAGCATTGGAAAAAGGACTGTCGAGCACTGAAAGAAAAATCATCAGTCTCTCTCGTAGAGCGGTCCCCAGCAGGGAATAATGAGCATTGACTCCATGATTGCAGCAGGCTGATCAATCCCTTTGTTATACCATCCTTTACTACTAAGAAAAACCCATGGCCCTTGCCAGACAGTCACAACACACACGTGGATCCAATTGGCCACTCAAGCCAAACAACCATCGCCAGCGCCCAATTGTTCTGGTTTGAAAGCAAAACCAGTGAGAGGCTCCAAGTCAGAAATACCGTTTATTAGGAAAAGGAAAAAACCTCAAAATACATGAAATACAAAAGAAAAAGATACATAAATGTATAATGTACATAATAACATATATAAAAGATATATACATGTATAGATATAGATATATATCAAATACAGATTGAAACCTTACAGATCTCACTTAAAATTAGGTCTCTTTGTGGTGCACAAGGGGTTTCCCCATCCTTCTGCATTACCCACCAAGTGTAACCAGATCCTTGAGCAAAAATCTTTTTGCCACACGTTGGGTGCCAAAAAAACGTTCTAGTTTGAAAGCAGAACAGGAGACTTCAAGTCAGAAATGCAATTTATTAGGAAAAGGGAAAAAACCCCCAAAAGACATGCAATAGTACGAAATAAAACCACTGAAAGAGTCAGAATACAACCTGACAACCTGCTAGTTATGGTGGTGGCAGCAGTCCAGACGAAATGGTCTTGTTGAAGTGGTGATCCCATAGAAAAGATCTGGTAGCGTTTGTCCTCTGGAAACCAGTGGGTAAGGGCTGCCTGTTCTGTCCCAAAGCCCAGATGATATCCAGGTGGGGATGCTGAGCTCCTCCCCCCTGGGTGGAGCATCTCCCAATGGGCTGATATCATTCTGAGTCATGATTGGTCCTTGATTGCCCATCAAACAGAAATGGCTCCTGGAGGGAGTTATCTCTGAGTCATGGGGCAAGGGATTGAGGGGCCCATTCACAGGAGATAAGGAAAAAACAATGCTCTGTGGCCCAGGTTTTTTATGTTTTTTTAAGCCTTTTGATGTTTACATTCTTGTAACAAACTTTCTCACCCACTTTGTGTAACTACCTTATTGTTTTGCATTCTTTTATGGAGGAGGAGTGTTGCCGCCGCTATGGGGGCTATGGGTGTGGTGTCCTGGGTCGAGCACGGCTCGGTGGCAGCACCCCTGCCACACGGACCAAGACACACGCTCACACCAATGTGGTGGATGGTGAAAAGGCGTTTATTAACTGCCAACAGGGGGAATTTATAACAGGGGGTAATGGCAGGGCAACAGGGAAGGGAGAGGGGTTAGGCGTAATATTGCGACATGTCCTAGATAACGCGATATCTTAAGCCCACATTTCCCCTCCCTCTTCATGACCTATTAAAAACATAGGAAACGGTAAAGGTTAAAACTACCTAGTGGGACAGTAACAAACTTGTAACTGTAGCAAAACAAACAACTGTAGCAAACTTGTAACAAACTTATGACTGTAGATATTTAACAAAGTTAAACAATGTAACACACACCAAAAACTAACTATCTCTAACTGGTTTTCTAAGAAAAAACAACACGGACTTATTTAAAATACAGGGCGATCAGCCGTGGGGCTGCCTGAACCATGACTTCGGGCATTCTTGCAGGACTTTCTCAGCTTATCTGTTGACATCACAGCACCAAATTGTCCTCCCACAATCTGCGATCTGTTTGGCTTTAAAACCAGGGCATTTTGGAGAGCCCATGTCCGGACTCATGTTCTCCCCAAAACATCCTTTGGACCCCTTGGCGTAGGAAAAGTTCTGGGTTGACTGGTATTCTATCCAAGTAGAGTCAGAACTTGGCCATAGTTCCAACTTCACCTGACGGATACCACTTAGGACTGTTGCCCGATTGATAAATGACATAAAACTCGGATATGTTTCAAGTTTTATGCGGTGCTTTATTAAGGGCCCGGGAAGCCAGTGGACTAATGTCCCAAGCCCGAGCCCCCAATTTCACGTATGGGTGCTTCCCTCTTATACATGCGATTCGTAACAAAGTCTCCAAGAAACAGTTCCCCTTGCCTAGTCACAGACCCCTTGTGATACATTCCTTGGTTCACAAACAAGATCATTAATCTTCTGCTTGTCTTATTCTAAGAGCATTGTATGCTGCCTCCAGACAGGTTAGCGTTCTTACTTTCTTGCACTAGTTTAAATATTTATTATATCCCTAAGATTACCTGCTAGGTTACACACAAAACCCAACACACACTTTCAACGGCTACAAAACTGCTTTTAACAAACCAATTCACACACAACTCACTATGATTAAACATTTTGCTAAATTTCATTTCTTTTCCAACAGGACAAGTGCTGAGCTCTTTTTCTCTTTCCCCCAGCTCTTTTTGTGCCAGCCTCTCACTGGGTTTTTTTCATGACCCTGATGTAGTCTGACATCGGGCTGCCTGATGACTCAGCACTGCTTCTGGGAGTGGGGTATGCGGGCCATGGGGGTGTCTGAGGGTCCAGTCCTGCAAAAGAAGCTTTTCAGATTTCGTTCTTGCCCTGAAGGTCTAGTTTTATTGATTTGAGCGGGCACCATTTAATTTCGCTATCTTTCTTTACGGCTGCATACCCTCGCCCCGTGAGTATCAGCCTCCAACCCGCTTCCCACTTTCCTAACTCATTTTTGGTTATTACTTGCGGGTTTTCCTCTAACGCCCGGATGGCCCAGTGCCTCTGGGCAGGACTTTTGATTTCGTCTCCCCTTGGGAACTGAGTTAAAGCTAGTAGGGTGGTTGCTAGAATACGTGCTTGATCTCTTGGTGGGATGGAACAGGTGACGCCTTCTGCCTTTGCTAGCACCTCCAGTTTATTTTTTAGGGTTTGGATGGCCCATTCGACTCTGGCCTGTCCAGTGTTGTTATAGGGGTTACTGTGGACTAACATTATATCCCATT